CTACCTTTTACATCGGTGCTTGCAGATAGGGCTTGGAATAGGTAATGAGCTCAGGCCCTGTTCTGCCACATGTGTAGGTAGAGCTGAGAGTGGTGTCTGCCATGCAGGAGGCGCAGCGTCTTATAGAGGAAGAGCTGTCAAACACTTAACAAAAGGCTTTTTTTCTTAATTCAGTCTGGAGTGGCTCTACATCATCACCACACTCCATGTACGGCTTTGTGAAATGTGACATGTCCTGTGTTCAAGTTCTGCGATTGTGTGGCCCCAGAGGTCATTACACCATGATGTGTCACAAATACAAACACACACACACACACACACACAAACTCCCAGTCGATCACAGACACAAACACACGGGAGCACTTAAACACGCATGGCAGACCAAGGTTTGCAGGGGTCAGCGGGTCATCATGAGTGGAGGGAGGGACTGAGGAGGAGATGAAGGCGATGGTTTATAGTACCACAGCCATATGAACACATCAGAGGAAATCTGAAAGGCCATTAAAACGCCTGCTTTTATGGGTGTAATAATCCCTCTCCTCTGCCTGGGAGTCCAGCCACAGCTCCAATGACCATCCGGATTAAGTGGGAGGTCTGACAGGAGGCAGGCTATCAGCTAATGCAGGGGAGCTCTGAGAGCCCAACAGGACCACAAACATCACACAATGCCAGAGCTGTTCATACAAGTCACCACGAGGCGTTTGCTATAGAGCTGAACACATAGAGCGAGCTCTGGAAGTGTTTGGACAACAATGTACTGTTCAGCGTTTTATCACCGGACTGTCATAATATTTAAATGTGAAATGATACGATGAGCACAAGGTTCGAGCGCAGAGTGTCATCTTTAATTTGAGGCAATTCAGGCACATCAAATGAACAGGCAAAGCAATTCTTTTTTTTTGTACACCCCCCCACCCCCCACCACCTCCCACCGCCCCAACCCCCACCCCTCATATCAGCCTCCGAGAAGTTTCCTGACAGGTTAAGATAATGTTCAATAAGTGTTTTCAATTTTTTTCCCTCCTTTATCTCTAATGGAAAGTCTTTACTTTCTGTGACTTCTAAAGGTATGTGGCCCATCAAGATCAGCAGACTGTTGATATCTTATCGTCAAGTTTCTCTTTCCTGCCTATTTAATTCTATTTTGTTTCGTCTGTATCTTTGAGTATTCAACTGTGACTAGTCTCAGCTGACTTTATAGTCATTAAATTGTTTCACATACAAACTAATAAGAGCACGGAGCCAAACGAAAATATCTCTGTTCACACACTCATGGTGCTCACTGTAGAGATTATGACATTCTGGATAGTAAAGGTAGAACAGCTTGAAAGTTTATTTATTTATTATCTACAAAGGGTGAACACAGTATTATTATGAGCAGCTCATATTTTGTCGTGTGTATAAGACTGTGAGACTGCACCTTAAACCCATCCTACATATTCATTCTATACAGTAGATAATGTACACTAATTATCATAATATACTGTTTTAGAAGCTAGTATACAAACATGTCAATATACCAAGAAATAATACAATATGTGTGGCGTTGCTGTCAATCAAACTTTGCTCCTTTCGTCACTGCTGATTAAACTTCACAAAGAGACATCAGGTGTTTTTCCAAAGATTTAATGCGTTGTTTTTGTTTTCCAATATCTTTGAGCTGTTTCGCCACCATCCATCCATAATGTATGTCAGCATCACAGCCAAAAATCCACCGTATGTAGTGGGGCTGAATATCATCAAAGAAAAATCATATCACGAATGAGATAGTCACGATTTCAGTTGGAATGGTCATTTTTGCTCTTGAAATAAATGTAAAAATTACGATGATGTGATCTTTGTTATCTCTGGAGAATATGATTTGTAGGCTGAGGCATCTCTGTAGCACCACAATGCTTCTTTTATGATATGTTGTGGAAAATTTGACTTCTATCAAAAAAATTGCAGCTCCTGTGATCTGGATATTGCACTTGGCCATATTGCGTATTCGGTAATATTTCGATTAATTGTTCAGCCCTAGTATTTAGCTTGCATCTGTCTGTTTTAAGTATACCTATATTGTCATTTTTGTAGGTTGAACACATAATGTATTAAAAAAGCTCCCTGGAATCATATGGATTTGGGGCACTGCATGTGACTGTGATTGCAAATATAGACTGTGTTCTTTGCCACTACTTATTTAATATTATTTTATCCTCATATTCATATAAGAGGAAGACAAAATAACATCTGTCTGGAAGGTTTTCAACAAAAAATGCATATCATCAGCTTCACTCTGGCAGTATTCATTATCAGACTGTTGTATTGGCTCATACTGTACAGCTGTTATACAGTGAACCACTTGTAATTTCCACACAAAACTGAGACAGATTGCCACCTGCAGAAAACTAAAGCACAGACTATAGCACTATTTTCACCATGTGCAAAACACAGCGGCACAGCACTCAGGAAGCATTATGAAGTAGATCTGACTACATTTCATCACACGGCACCCAGCAAAGCTTCAGTGCAAATAGAGCTGGGTAACCTAGTAGCCTTCACCACACAGAGGAGCAGAAACTGAACTCGGATCACTCCCGCCCTGACTCTGCAGCTCAGGGCAGGACTTCAAAGCCAGAAAGCAGCCCAAAGTTGAGCAGCAGTGGTAGAAATTGTTCAAAGGAATGTAGCCTGTTTACTATTGACTTTGCAACAATTACCCAAGCATATGTGTGTGTAATTAGATAAGGCAGCCAGTTGTTCTCTAATGCGGCAAATCAAATTAACTAAAGATGCCACATTGATTTCTTTGTGTTCCCTAAATTATTCATCTTCACTTGCACTGAACCAGCCAGCCAGCCACCAAAGAGCTTTTCTAACTCCTCTGCACCGTAGCTCCCTTACTGCCTGCACACACCGATTGTTTTGGAAGATCTACCTAAGTACCTTTTCAATATTTTTGCTATTACAATTCTGCAAATTGACCCTCCTAAATAAAGAGCCTTTGCAGTGTTGTGGGAACGCTCGTAATTCCCATCAGGAGAAATTACTCTACCTCCATCATTGCTGTCATGTGCGTGTATGTATATGTGTGTATATGTGTGTATGTGTGTGTATGTGTGTGTGTGTGTGTGTGTGGGGGGGGGGGGGGGGGGGGCGTGTGTGTGACAGCACGCACAGGACTGCTGTGAGAATTCATCAAGCACAGAGACTGTAGACAACCATGTCTCAGGCTGCTTCATTGACGTCCTGTTCTCTGGCATGTTGCACACAGGGAGATCAATATGACCTTACCTCCACCACCCGCTCCTTTGAAACTTAATTACTGATATTCAGCTACAAAGTCATCATAGTCTGGCTGTCAATATTCATTGGGGATCATTACAGGCCTAATAAAAGAGGTTATTTACGGGCTGCTCTGCTGACACCGGCCCAGGTCCAGGGATTCAGCTCAAGCCATCTCAATTTGCTTTACCTCTCTCTCTCTCTTTCTCGCTCTCTCTCCCTCTCTCTCTTTCTCCCTCTCTCTCTTCCTCTCTCACCTCTCCCAGAAGCACTGACCTGAAAAAGAAAAATTGACAGCAGAGAAACGAACAGGAGAGAGGATGGAGGGTGAATTCTTCTGGCATGGCTTTTAATTCTCTTGGCTGTGTTTGGAGGTTTTTCAGCTCTTGCCAAAAAAACACTGTAGCCGCCATATCCCTAAATCCCCAACTAAATTTGAACTTTGCTTGCCACTGACATTGCAATCAGACCCGCAAAGGGATATTTCATGACATTTAGAGAAATGTCGCACAGATCCTTGCCTCTTTGCAACAACGCGGTTTTAACTCCTCTGCTCCAGCGTCAATTATTGTGTTTTCAAGGCTGCAGAGCTTATTCTTCAGGTTCTTCCACAATGAGTCATTTCATCAGCAAAAGCAATACCATGGACCACACAACTCCCACTCCTGAAATTGTACAGCAACAGCGCTACAAGGAGTTGTGTGATTGTGGGAGATTGCTATATGTTAATTTATTCAATAAATCAATAGCTTCACTGTAATTGAAATGGTTGGCCATCCGGTGTTGAAGCAATGTGGCAGAAACTGAAAAGTGGAACAGTGAACTCTGTGGATCAAAAGAGGTACTGCATCTGGAAAAATCTCTCTCTCTCTCTCTCTCTCTCTCTCTCTCTCTCTCTCTCTGTCTCTGTCTCCCACACTCTCACACTTCCCCTTTGTCTCTCACTTTCAGTCTCATACTCACAAACATCCTTATATCCAAACACACACACACACACACACACACACACACACACACAGCTCTGCAGTTCCCTCTTAGTGTCTTGATTAATATGGTCCACTTTACATCAGTACACTGGATGCCAATGCACACTGTGCTGCCTTCCCTGAGCAATTAGCGGAGGGGCTCCACCAGCGTTGGATTATCAACAACAAGATGCCTCCTGACGCGAGCCCTAAAGCCTGCTGACTTATTCATATGTGTTTACTTTAAAAGCCTCTGCCCTGGTTTTTGTGGGTGGGCTGCATCAGAAGTGAAATAAGAACAGCATCCGGGGGGGGGGAGGGGGGGGCAGACAGACACATTATGCCCACAGAGAGGTAGCCGAGAGGTGCAAGGGACTGGGTCCTGCTGCATCGAGGTCTTGTGGTAGAAATAGAAATATAAGAGTGTGTAGTGTTGGGAAAATAAATAGGAGGAATCGATGTCAGTTGATGCAGCCACAGAAAGTGTGATACGTACCACACCTGGATCAATTATTAACTGCAGTCTGTTGGTTGTTGCTGTGGGTTTGTGCGTTTGCTGTTGTGGGTTTCGCCAAGCAAGATCAAAAAATTCTCCAGTAGTGGTAGAACTCCTTTCACGCGAAGATATAAGCTGTGACTGATACTGTTATGTTTTCTTTTTAGTATTTTTATGTGCTTCCTATCCCCACATGAATGCTGGAGCATGAATAATTAAAGGTACCCTCAAAAGCTAATTTAACACTATCACATCTGTATCTTCTCTGTCTGTAGGGATCCCAACAAACCGGTTCCCCAAGACACCAAGTTCATCCACACCAAGGCCAACCGCTTTGAAGAGGTGGCCTGGTCCAAGTACAACCCCCAGGACCAGCTGTACCTTCACATCGGCCTGAAGCCACGTGTGCGCGACCACTACCGCGCCACCAAAGTGGCCTTTTGGAAACACCTAGTGCCCCACCTGTACAACCTCCACGACATGTTCCACTACACCTCCACCACCACCAAAGTGCCCCCGCCAGAGACCACGCAGAACACCCTGTCCACCAAGAGGCCCAACGGGAAAACCTCCTGGCCGTTCAACACCAAGCGGCCTCCCATGTCCCCAGCCTACAACAGCGAGGACAAAGACTCTTGGAGCGACGACGAGGAGACGGGACCGCTGGTGGTGGAGAATCCGCGGGATTATTCCACAGAGCTCAGCGTCACCATCGCTGTCGGAGCCTCGCTGCTGTTCCTCAACGTGCTGGCTTTCGCAGCCCTCTATTACCGCAAGGACAAGCGGCGGCAGGACTCCAGCCACGGGCAGCCCAGCCCACAGCGCCAGACCACCTCCAACGACATTGGCCACCATGCGCCCGAGGAGGAGATCATGTCGCTGCAGATGAACCAGACGCACCATGAGTGCGAGGCGGGGAACAGCAACGAGGGGGCACTTCGTTTGGCCTCGCTGCCCGACTACACGCTCACTCTGCGGCGGTCTCCGGACGACATCCCCCTCATGACCCCCAACACCATCACCATGATCCCCAATTCCCTGGTGGGCATGCCCAACCTGCACCCCTACAACACCTTCACAACCGGCTTCAACTCCACCGGCCTGCCGCACTCCCACTCAACCACCCGCGTATAGCTTTAAGGAGGCCAGGGGCAGCCGGCGCAGGCGGGAAGGGGGGGGGGGGGGGGGGGCAGCGGCGGCGGTGGTGGAGGAAGAGGAGCGAGGAGGATGAACGAACGGAGGAGAGGATGTGTGTTTATGAAATATGCACAGGGGGGGGGCTGCGGAGGGGGAGGGGAGGGGAAGGGCAGGAGTCGGATTAAAACGTGAAGAGATTTAACTAGACTTTTACAACGAGGAGAGTTGCTGAGAGCTCTCTATGGATGTCAAGTTGTGCAGAGCTGCCAAAATCAAACTGCTTCCCTTCTCCTGATCGGGGGGAGGGGGTCTTTCTGCAGTGTTTTTTTCTAAAATAATCATTTTAAAAGCCTTTTTAAGCAAACTGAGGAGATATCAACACTTTTTTTCTTGAATTCATAACAAAAACAAAGAAAAGTGCTTTTTATTTCCCATCCCTTCCTCCTGCGGGAGACACATCTAGAACAATGGCCTCTACGTCAATATTTGCGAAATGTTTTTAATTGCTTCTTTGTTTTGTTTTACTTTTCAATGCCTTACAAAGCTTGTTCTTTTTTGTCATTATTTCTATTCCCTGAGACTATTCCAAGTGGAGTGTGTTACAAGCAGATGAGACTCAAAGATGAGAGACTGAATCCAGGATGGGAACCAGAGGATATGCAGATGTAGAGATTTTAAACCCATTTTGGGCAACACATTTTTTTTTCTTTCTGTTGCATACCAACACAACAACACCCACACAAATGGTGTTATCTTTTCTTTTTTTTTTTTTTTTTTTTTTTTTTTTTTTTAGCTCGTATAGAAATGATTTGTCCGGGACAGCTCTTGCTGGGAGATGAGAAGGCAGAGATAAATACTATGTTACTGTGATTGTTTTGTTAAGAAAAAAAGTGCATCTTTTACAGCCAATTTATCTGTTAAGCTATCTGATATTATCTCCACAAAGTGTGCACGTACACATGCTGCTTAGAGCACCTGTGTGTTTGTGTGCATGTGAAAATGATTTCTCATTCCTTTGCGTGCAAGAGCGGTTAAGAGGCTGAGATAAAGGAAGAGACACATGCTCGGAAACTTGCAAATGCAAGAGTAGTGAGTGAGTGAGTCTGTATGTGGGTGAAAGAAAGCGTGCGAGTGTGTGCGAGTGTGTGTGAGTGTCTGTGTGTGTATGTGTGTGTGTGTGTCCGTGCACCTGTTTTTTTGTTTGTAGTTTGTATAATGTGGTTTTTGGGGGGGGAGGGTGGGGGTCATGGAGGGGAGGGGGGGCTGAGTATTTTCTCATGTTGTTGATTTTGGTTCTCCACCAGTAGTGTTTCTGCTGCGTCTCTGGGTGTCTGTCTTTGCGAAATAGCACTTTTGTTATTTTCAAAGTTCTATATGTCTAATTTTGCTTAAAGATTACAGAATAAATCTATTATTTTACGTGTAAGAGAAAAAAATAGCTAAAGATTCAACTGAACTAACTGACATGATTCCATTGACTTTGTAAGAGTTCCTCTTCGAAAGCAGACAGTGGCCTGTTTGCACTGAATAAACCTACATCAGTGCACACTTGTATTTCTTTGAATATATATATAAATATGGGCATACATACATATATGTATAGGGCTTCTATGGAGATATCGCTCCCACTTACAAAACAATTAAAACACTGTTCAGACTGAAAAGCACCAACACAAATAATTTCTATGTATTGTCGTCATTTGAAACATCCCAAGCCAAGACAGCTCTAGGTGTCTTTGTAAGAGCTCTATATGTATATTTATGTATAAAATATTTAATATTTATTTATGTATACCAGATGCATACATGCTGATTGTGCCATGTGCCAAATTAAAACTGTAAAAAATGAAGAATATAAAGTTTCACTAAACTTTTTTTTCTCTCTTGATCAAAGTTCTTTTCCTCCCTTTTATGACTTTTTATTATTTCCATTTTGAATGAGTTAAAGAAGAAATATTCTTGCAGCAAGTGCAAGTCTCCCCCTAGGACTTCCTCTTTACCTCTTCTCTCCTCCCCCTCCTCCCTCTCTCCTTTTCTCTCGCTGAAACCTTTGAGAAAAACAGGCTAACAGCTTGGGGCCTATCGTGCATAACTCCAGATTTTACTGTAATTCATGCAAAGTAGTGCTGCAGCAATGGGAGATTGTGAAAAGATTGCCTTGATGTACTCACATTGCATCCTATTATATGTTATTCTCTGGGAGAAACTGGAGTTATTGATTCTGCAAGTAAAACTGACAATTTTCATTAAGCATCTTGGCGTAGCGCAGACTGTCTCCTGCGTTACAAGCGACTTGCAGTAATGCGACCTGACCAGTGATCCTAGATCAGTGTTGCAATTCTTAGACATTTCACGCACATAGACCGCAACATTTTTATGAAGTATCCCATTACAACTTCCCCTGGTATTTAATGATTGGAGACGCAGCAGAGCGAGAAGCACATTCTGGTCAGCTCATCACCGATCCTGCCAGTGGCAGAAAGAGAGAAGGGGTTATTTGAGGGAAATTGCTTGGAGATTGATCTATATGAGTCATCTTGTTGTTGCTCATTCTGCCTTATATGGGGCTCACCTCTTAATCAGCCACAGTCTTCAACTGTGCCGCATCCACTAAAGAAACAAGCAGTTGGCCTCTACCTGGAGCTGTCTCATACATACAGAAACATTTAATAATGTCTGTGGATGTGCTTATGTAAGGAGCAGACTATGCAAATAGTCCGATTTGTTTCAGTGGCAATGATATCAGCAGAACCTTGTTTTGTGGCAGAAAATGAACAGGCATTAGAGCGTCGATGGCATTTTGACGAGCAAGGATATTTTTGAAATTCTCCTGTGAGCCCTTCTTATTGAAATATACCCCTAAATTACTTAAAACCATTTTTTTTCAACATACCTATTGTGGCATCTAACCATGCAGAAAGTTTCAGTTCGGACCTTGAGATTTCTGCTTTCCCGGTACAATACAAGTGAATGGAGTTTAATTTGTGGTGCTCACAGAAATGAACTATGACACTTAAAAATAAATAATAAAAAAAAAAGAAAACATCCTTGTTACTCTTATTTGAAAGTAATTCCAATAAAAACTTCACAGCGAGGTCTGTGGATTATTCAGACTGACTGGCAAGTAGCTGTTGAAGTTTTTAAACCTGCTGTGGTCAATGTTTTTATATAACAATGAATCAAATGACTACTCATAAGTGAAAGTCACTCAAAGGACAAACCCACAGATAATTATCACCCGTTGCTACACTCCACCTGAGCTCTACGGAGCATTTTAGCATGTTTCAGCACATTATACAGTACAACTTTAATGTTTTCTCTCTGCTCTCAGGACGTTGTTTCCAGACGCAGCAGGCAGCAAAAAAAAAAAAACCTCTACTTATAAATGTCTAAAGTCTAATGATCCTCTGTGTCTACTGGATGTGTAAATTAGCAACCGTTTGCTTAATAAGTTTGCCACATTAACTTAAAGGGTGATGAATATCAATTAATGCAGGTTTAACTGTAATTTGTAATGCTGCTCTAATGCACCACAAACTAAAACTCCGCTCCATTAATTATTGATTCGTTGTTTACTATGAGCAAAGTCTGTCTGCTAATGAAGGACATGAGTGCACCTGATGCACCTTGATGATTTCTATTCAAATGACCCTTTAATCCAGAATATCAAAGATTCAAAGTCAACTGTTCCCTCGTCTGATCCGTCCGCCGTGGTGGGAGGTCAGTTTCCATATGGCTCCAACACACACGCACACACAGTGGCACAGGGCTAAAAATTGAGTGGTGGAGTTGAGAGTGAACTATCAAAGGGAAGAAATGTCATGGGAGGGCAACTTGTTTTTTGCCATGTAATTTTCCCATATGCTGTTAAAGCAGAGCAGATGTCGCTGAGTATTGGCAGGGGTAGACCTGGTGGCCTCGGGGACCCGGTTTGGGATACATTGCCCTGTGAAGAGCCGCATAATTAAGTGCCGGACCAAAGGGAAAGACCATGGAAACTGCAGTGGTGCGATGCAGCGAGAGAAAACGGGGTCAAACTCCCTCTGCAATCAGACACCTGAAGGCTCGATGAAATTAGTCCAAACTTCAGTTGGAAAGAATCACCACCAGAAGAAAAAATGGGACAGTTATGAGCGAGACACTTTTTGCACAGTCGAGATTTGTTTGCAGTTCAGTGAGTGGGTTCCGAAAGTGACATCATTCAAGCGCTGGCTAGAATACCCCGATGGGGTTTGTGACTGCCTCGACAGCACTGAAGACAAACTCAGCCTAGGAAATGGATGTGCCAAATTACACAGTGCCACCCGCTGGGAGAGCGCTGCAGGTGTGTGTGTGGTGTGTGTGTGTGGTCGTGTGTGTGTGTGTGTGTGTGTTGGGGCGGGGGGTGTTGGAGGGGAGGGGGATGCCGGGGGTGTTGGTCCATGTGTGTGTGCAGTAAGTCTATGTGCGTGCAGATATATTGAGAATTTTATTTCTACCGTGGCGAGCGTGTTGTTACCTATATTTCCTCTCACCCTCTTCCTCACCCTCATCTCTCTCTTCCTGTGTCTCATCCATCTTTGCTCCTTTCTTCTTCTACTTCTTCTTTAATGCAGTTTTTTTTTTTGTTTGTCCTCCCTCACACAAAATGCAATCTAAGCAGCTCTACCTCTGTCTCACACAGACATGACTTGCCCATTTTCTCTTTCCTATATTTTATACGTGCCATAGTCTGAGCAACTCGCTCATTTCCAATCATTTAAGGTCTAATTTTCTTGAATTGCCGAGTTCCTCTGCTGACTAAGAAGCTAATGAATGTTACTTATTGGGAAGCAGAGTGGAACCAGCCACTGAACCAAAACTCTTGTTCTTTAAATTTAAAAAGCCTGTTTTTCTCTAAAGGGAAATCATACTGCGTTTGTCAAAACATCAATAAACTATTATTTCCATGTGAAAACGCACTCCTGATGATTTTATTTTGTATCCGCAGAGCATCGGACAAATCACTGGCATATTTTTTTAG